GCCTCGGCGATACGGCGGTCCTCGCCGTCGCGGCGCGCATTTTCCCGAGTGATGAAGGGCCGCTGGCTGGCTGGCTGGCTGGCTGGCTGGCTGGCGGGCTGGGGGCGTGTACGTGCCACTATGCAGACGCGGCGCGCCAGCACCGCCAGCCGCGCCTTGCTGCGGAAGAAGAGTGCACGTCATTCGTTGCCGAGGCCTTTCTTGACCCCTTGACCTTCCCACTCAGATCGTCAGATCGCTAAGACCATTCCCCCCCCCCTCCCCCCCTCCCTCTCGCTGCGCGTCTCTCCGGTCCCCGCCACGCAGCGCCGCGCCGCGCACACGTGGAATGTACACGCCGCCGCACAGCACCGCACGGCCAGCTCATTTGGGACGAGCGGCAACGCCCCGGCAAAGTCCCGGCAACGCTGCAGCAAAGTTCCACATTGCTCCAGCGAAGTCCGGGCGAAGTTCCTGCGACCCTCCCGCAGTGCTGCAGAAAAGTTGCCGAAAACGCTCCAGCAAGACTCCAGCGAGGTTCCAGCAATGCCAAGCTGCCGATGGGCCGACGACAACGCGTTGCAGCGACATGGCTCGAGCTGCGGACTGATTACGGGAGTCGTTCTCCTCGTCGCTCCGTCTCTCTCGCACTCATGGGACGCTCCGTACAGGTGCGAGAGAGACGGAGTCCATCCCTTTATAGCGCGCCGGGACGACGGCGTGCCGTTACACTGCCTCGCGGTGCGTCGCGGTGCGTCGCCGTCCTCTGTTCGATACATCCGGTCAGCCCGGCCGGCGTCGCTCCGTCTCTCTCGCACCCGGCGGGCGTCGCGCAGGGGTGCGAGAGAGACGGCGGCGACACCACTGTCGGGCCGCTGCCCAGCCCCTTGCCTTGTTAAGGGGGACGTCGGTACGGTCCGGTGCGGTACACGACAGAGAGAGAGAGACAGACAGACAGAGAGAACGCGATGCTTCTAATGACGGAGTAATCACGCGTTAAGCTGCGCTAAGCTGGATAACTCTATCGGCGGCGTCTCTCTCTCGATCTCCGTCACTCTCATGGCGCCGCTCGATCCGCGACTCGGAATGCGCCGCGCATTTCAAAAATGCCGCCAAACCTTAAAAAAAACGAACAACAAGGGCAAAACAAGCCACCGGAAACGGATCAGGAGGCCGAAAAACAAAAACGAAGCGATAGGCGCGAGAGGCACTGGAACGAGACGAGCGCGGAAAGCCTTGAAAGCCTTGAAAGCCTTGAAAGCGGTGGAAGCGCAGACACGCCCTCGCCCCTTTTTGCCTCGTCCAGGAAAGCCTGCACACCGATTCCGAGAGCCGCTCTGTCTCTCTCGCTCCTGTGCGGGGCGCTCCATGAGTGCGAGAGAGACGGGGCGTTCGAGTTTTACCCGGCCGCGTCGTGCGACGTCGCGGCGGTGGAGGTGGAAACGCACCGCACCGCGCCTCAATGAACTGGCGTGGCGCGGCGCGGCGTCCCATCAGAGACTAACTCGCCTCTGTACTCCAGGCTCCAGACTCCAGACTCCAGAGTCTCCAGAGGCGTGTCCAGTCAAGCAGAGGCGAGTTGGCCGCGCAGGTGCATTCCGCGAGCACTTACGGGTCGAGCTGGAAGGGGGAAGGGGGGGGGGGGCAGCCTCAAGCCCATCCCCGACACCGCCGCTCCAAAAGACGCGCGCGAACGCCTCCTCGCGACCTGACTGACAGAGAGACAGACAGACGGACGGACGGACACGGCGGGGCGTGGGCAGGGCCGGAGAGGCTTTATCCCTTTCCTGAAATTGAGTGGCAGGCAGCCACGCCATTTAACGCCCGCGTCGAAAAAAAAATACTAAACAACAAACGCGAAAAGAAAAAAGTATTCGATATCCGCGGCGGCGAAAGCGCTGCGTTGGCTTGGACGCGGTCCGAGGCGACACCCTCCTAAAGTCTGGCTCAGATTTCGCGAGTGAAGAATGTGCAAGCGTGTTTTGCCCGTGCGGCGGCCCGAGGAGCCAACTGGCGTTCCCCTCGACGCGGGGCCCACCCACACGCCACCTCGTCCGCGCTCGGATTTCGCGAGGGTGTGGGTGTGTTTGGCCGGCCGACCCACCGCCACACCGCCGCGGGTCAAGACTCCGCGGCCCGGTCCGCGCGTGCGTGTGTGTGTGTGTGCGTGTGTGTGTGATTTAGGGAGGTAGGCCGGGCCTAACGGACAGAGGGCCTAAAGCGAGCCGCTGTCACTGGCAGAGAGATGGAGTGCGCTATCACGACCAGCGACACACACACACTCACACACACACACACGCACGGCCCGCAGCACCCTCGCCATCGACACTTGCGATCACATCACTAATTGGCACCATGTGGCGCTAGAGCGCGCTCACACACACGGACACACACACACACGCACGCCGGCGCACGCACACAAGCACGCCAAATATGGACGCGACAGCGCAGCAGAAGCAGCTGCAAATGCCAACTAAAGTGAAGCGACAGCGGTGCAGCGGTGGAGCCCGTCAAGGAGGCCGACGAACACGGCGCGACAATGTAACGAAGCCCCCGGTGCGCAGCGCGCGGCGCAGAGCTGCCCCCGTATGATTCCATCTCTAATACGAGCAGCCAGACGAGCGGCGACGTGAAAAAAGGGGGGACACGACGCGACGTCGCGGATGCCTGCCGCCGCCCCCTCCCCACCCCTCCCCCGGCCCCGTCGCCGCGGGGGTTTACGGGCGCACCCGAAAAGTGGCTGATTAGCACACTCACACAGACACACACAGGCGCACGCATAGAGACGTAAGCTGCGCTCTGTGCCCCTCGCTGCACTGCCCGGCTTGGTCGGCCTGGCTGGCTGGCTGGGTTGGCCCCCCGCGGAATGCGGCGCACGCAAAGTGCAGCGCTGCCTGCCAGCCTCGCCTGCCCGCCTGGCCGGGTGACGGACATTTGGACGGCGTGGGCCCCGCCGGAGTGGCTGGCTGCTCGGTCGGCGCGGCCGGCCAGGGCCAGATAACGAGGATCAAAAAATACGGCACTTTCACCAGAATTGCCGACACGCCACGCCCCGGCTGCCCGTGGCCGTGCCGCTGCAGCGTGCCGTGCCAGGCCGTGCCGTGCGTGGCCAGGGTCGTGTCGGGCCGGCCAGGCCAGACCGCCAGGCCGCCAGGCCGCGCCACATCGGGACAGTTCGCGGCGCGCACACACACACACACAGCCACTTCATTTCGGAAAGTGTGCCAACGGGGCGGAACGCGGGCTGCCCCGCGCCAACGACGCCGGCGACGACGCCGAGGCCCCCACCACCCTCGCCAACCACCGAAAACTCCCCAACGCACCACTACACTCGACTTTTTGATAGTTTCCGATCCAATCATCGACGCGGGCAGCGCGCTCACAACCGATGAACGATTTTTAGTTTTTTTTTTCGTTGTGAGCTTTTTTTCCGTTCGCGCCGATAGATATGGAGCGGCGGCACAAGGTCGTGAATCAGCAGCAGGGAGCGCCTGGAAAGAAAGCAACGCCACACACACTCGCACACACACACACACACACGACACAAAGTTTATATGAGTGAAACTGGCCGGGCCGGGGAGTGGTGTAGCCCCGCCGTGGCCCCGCTAAACTGCCCAGCAGATAATCGTAACTCGAGTGAATTGGGCCTGGCTGGCCATGCCGGGCCGTGCGCGGCCGATCGCGCCGTGTCCAGCCTGGCCAGGGGCACGGCGCGGCACGGCGCGGCACGGCGGCGGGGTGTGCGCTTGGCTTGGGGCGCCCGCAGGCGACCGGCGGCAGCCCGCGGGAATGAATGCCTACATGCTAGGCGCATACAGGTACCTGCATTTCGGCCCCATAACTCCGGGCGTCCGACCGAGGGCCCCGCCCGTCTCGCCCCTGCAGGGCCGGCGGGGCCCTGGCCGACAACAAGCGGGGCGTGTCCTTCGTGCAGGTGTACCCAAGGGTGTACCAGTGCAGTGTGCCAGCGAGTGTGCCCCGACGCCGCGTGCCCGAGCGCGGCGCGCACTATCGGCGCCAATCGCCCCGGCCTCGCCCACTTCCTCATTCTGCGCCGCTCCTCGAAGGGACCCCGTCATCTTGCACTCACACCTACACCAGCACGCACACACTCTCTCGCTCCCGCGGTAAACGGCCGCTGCAGCAGGCTGATGCCGAGGGTCGTCGCTCTGTCTCTCTCGCGCCGACACGGGACGCCCCATGAGTGCGAGAGAGACAGGGCGACGAAAGCGACTCTCGGAATGGGTCTGCCGCCGCCAGCGCGGTGGTTAATGATGCACGCAGAGCGACGCGGAGCGCAGAGCCCCTCGCGGAGTCTCCTCGAGACGCTCGGACGGATCGTGATAAAAGGCGCGCAAACTGTTTTAATCCGTCAAGGTCGCCGCTTCGCCGCTTGGCTGCCATCTCCTTCCGTTTCAAGTAAACAAGCGGCGCTGACGTCACGACACGTGTTCGCCGTGCGACTGCGCGACTGCGCGCCGCGCATCTCCGGCGCCACACTGTGCATCTGCACGACGCCCGGGGAGTGTACTACGATAGGCGGTACAGTGCGGCGCGCTTGAAACAAATGGAGACTTGGCTCGTCAGGACGGTCATGAGGGCCTTGGGGGCGTGGCGCGGCGCGGAGGGGCTCCGGGCTCGCGCAAAGGATCCGCCGCGTCACGCCGCGGACGCGCGGACGCCGCATTGTAAGGGAAGCGACAGGTCATCCCGCGACCCCGGCGTGTGAAAAGTGCCGGGCCCCGCCAGCACGCCAAGCCAGGGTGCCGTGCCGTCGGGGTCCCCCGCGAGGGCTCATTAAAAAAATAATCATAAAAGCCTACATCGACATGAATGAAGTGCAAGGAGCAAGTCGGCGCGTCGGTAGCGAAATATGAGCGGCGCGTCGTTAACGCTTTACAGCTTGTTGCAGGAGCCCTCCGCCGGGCGGAAGGGCTTGCCGAAGGGCCTGCAGGGCTGCGGGGCCGTATAAGGGCTTCGGACGAGTCGGCCAAACACAGGCAAAAACAAGGCGCACTCACCTGAGCTGCAGCACGGGGGACATGTCGTCGACGAGCTCCGACATGATGACGACGGTGTTGCTGGGCACCTGCTGCTGGTACACGACGGACACGGTGCCGTCCATGAGGCCGTCGTCGGACACCCCCACGGCGCCGACGGGCACGGGGAGGGGGAGGCCGTCGCCGAGGCCGGCCGTGCTGTAGATGACGGGCGGCTGGTGGGGGTGGTGGTGCACGTGGTGCTCCGAGGTGACGGCGTGGTGGTGCTCGTACAGGTAGCCGTCCACGTTCACGGGGGTCATGGTGGCGAGCATGAGCGGCGGCGTGGGCGCGGGCGGCGGTGCGGGCGTGGCCTGGCGGCCGGGCGAGGGCGCGGCGCCGGGCGGGGACGCCGCCGACGGCACCGATGAGGGGGGCGTGCCCGGGGTGCCCCGGGAGGAGGGCCGGTCGTCCATCACGGCTCGGCGCGTCATTGCGGCAGCAGCGCCCGACGGCCTCACGCCGACATCCTGCGAGGCAAACCAAAACGACATGCTTCAAATGTATCAGGCAACAGGCAACTTTCACCCGCAGGCTGCAGGTGCACCGGGCACCAGGCGCAGCTCTAGCGGTCCCCAAAACCATTTTCACGCCAGGCTCCGGGGTTGGGGTTCTGTTTCGCTGATTAATTTTTTTCTAATTGGCTCCGATGATTCGTATCTGGCGGAGGTCTGCTGGCTTGCCCCGTGCGGGCTGGCTGGCCACACATGCGGGCAGGGCCCCGCGTCCGAAAGTCCGAAATCCAAATCCCCGGCTCGGCGCGGCTCGGCCGGGGTAATTGGGGGATCGTGAGCCCGTCTTCCAGTGGGGGCCCAGCCAGGCCCAGCCAGGCCAGCCAGCCCGGCGGAAACGTTTCCTCGGATGTTGCCGAGTCAATTTATGGCACGGATTAAAGGGAAAAATTAAAAGCCGGGCCGCGTTCCGCCTTTTCCAGCTTTTCACTTTTCGACTTAATAACAACTTGTTGTTTTCGCCGACCGATCTATGATACCCTGCCAGTCGGTTTCGTCGCTCTGTCTCTCTCTCTCTCGCACTTCAAGGCGTTCCCTGCAGGTGCGGGAGAGACAAAGCGACCCCGGCCGGACGAGGCCTGATCCTCTCGCGTCCCCGCTGAGTCACTCACTGCCACTCTTTGGAGCCTCGCCATCAGTGCAATGCGTGCGGCGACGCGGAGTGCAGAGTGCCTTCGTTTAGTTTCAGGCGCTGGCACGCATTTTTCGTTTTGGCGACGCTGCGCGTTGCAACGCAGTGCAACGCGGTGCATAGCGAGGTCGCTCCACATTTGCTCAAATCGAAATAATCATGGAAAAGGATTAGGTCGGCGAGCATGCTCGTATACACGACGCGACATTGGCAGAGCCCCGCCATGCTGCTGCACTGCAACACTTGACGATCGACGGGGAGCGAAGCGGCGAAGCGGCGAAGCGGCGAAGCCTAGCCCCGTCGCGTTATTTAATCAGCAGCCAAGTTGTAATCAAGGATTATGGAGGAAGCGTTGTCCCGGTGCGCCAGGCCAGGCCAGGCCGCAGACTCCGAACAGTGCTTTCGTCGCTCTGTCTCTCTCGCACTCCTAGGGCGTCCCGCTGGAACACGAGAGAGACAGGGCGACGAAGCACTCCTGTTCGGAATCAGCTTGCTGGCCAGGCCGCCGGGCCGCCAGGCCGCCAGGCACCTACATCAATGCGCTCAATCAACATACAGTGGCGGCAAAATACGACCTGGCCGTCGCGACCGCGCCGCCGCCGCCACGCTCCGATCCGGGAGAGGAATTCAATTTCAGGCGAGCGGCTCGAATGGAAATTTAATTGTGCGCGATCGAGCTTCTTGGGAAAAGCAAAGCCGCGGCGATCGCGGCGGGTATCGGATGGCAAACATTTTGTCGGGCGGTCCTGTCCCGACAAGCGCGGGGGCCGGTTACATTGTAGCGGCATGGTTGGGGGCCGTGCGCGAACCATTTCAGCGAAAAACAGTCACCGCTCCTTTCAGAGCTTATTTCGAACTGTGTTGGCGTCACCGCCTCTCTCGCACTCGCGGGGCGTGCGCGCTGGGGGCGACAGGGACCGAACCGAACGTCGCGGAACTGTTCAGAGGTTCACAGGCTGCGCCTGTCACGAGATTTACGGAGCGACCCCGGGGCCTGCATGGCCTGCACGTCGAAGTCGCTCGTCATGGCTCCGGTATGCGCGGCGCACGGCGAGGCGCGGCACGACGGACGGCGAGGGTAGCCGCGAGGCTCAGGGCGACGGGCGGGGCGGCGGTGTCGCGCCCCTCAGCGCCATGCACTGCTTGGGGGTGAAGGAGAAAGCACGCGGTGGAGAGGGGCGTGGCGGAGTCCCGCTGCAGTGTCTGGTCTTCTGGCCCACTGTGCAACGCCTGGCCCGGGCCGGCCAGGTCCGCGACGACGAGCCGCGGTGCCGTTTGGGCGTTTCGGAGGCGGCCCTGGGCGTGGGACGGGCCGGCGGTGTAATCTGGCGGAGATTATCATCAGAGAAGTGTCAGTCGCATCGCACCACGCCAACACGGCCAGCACGGCACGCAAGGACAAGGCGAGAGCAACACACTCCACGCACACACTCGCACACGTTCAAGGTTTAGGTTGGCGGCCTGACAGTCGCCTGAACCGCGTCATCCCACCCGACGGCGCGTCCCCTCCGTTCCAAAGCACCGGCTCGATTCAAACGCAGCCGAAAGACAAAAACGATTGATTCATCACACAATGTACTCGCGATTGCGACTGTTGTTGTTGTTGTTGTTGTTGGCTGGCCTGCGGGACGGCGGGCGTGGCCGCGCGCGGAATTGGGCTTTCCGATGCACTGCCGCACGCGCCGTGCCGCCTTGGCTGCGCCTTGGCGGTGCCGCTGTGCAGACATGCTGAGTGCTACCCTACTTTCCCATTGACCTTTCAGTCTCTGAGCCTTTCAGCGTCGTGAGACACGGGCCCTGCCCGGCCCGGCCCGGGCCGCGTGAGAGAGAATAATAAGAATGATAATAATAATAATACCCGTCGCGTCTTTTCTATCTGCGCATGAGTCGTAGGAAGTCAGGTGAACGGCTCGCGGAAGGGAGGGGGAGGGGAGGGGGAGGGGGGGGGCGATGGTTATGAAGTGCCTAGCAGGCCCCGGCCCCGCGCCTGGCCCCGCCTTGCCCCGTGCACCGTGCATCTAAGCGCACCTTAACAGATCTCGTTGAGGCGAACTTCTATTAGCCGGCCTGCTAGCTCCGCACGCCCCGCCCCGCCCCGCCCCGCCCCGGCCGAATGCATGAGTGACTTTGCATTATCGCCCGTGCGGTCAACGCGCGTCATGCCGTGCGGTCTCGGCCCGTCTCGGCGGCGCGGCGCTCGTGGCGCTGCGGCCGATCTGGGCCACTGCTCAAATATTAGCCCATCGCCTTCTAGGACCTTGCGCGCGCACCCGGCACCGCCCTGGCACCGCCGCCCAGCGGGATTTGAACCCGTGGCGCCACACACACACACACACCTGGCACAGCATCTCGGGTTCGATTCCCGCCACCACCGCCGGTAAAGGCTTAAGAAAATAAAATCTCATTCAACGAACGTCAATGAAAGCAGATGATCCATCGCGTTTCACAACTGCTGCGATAGCCGAGAGGTTAGAGACGTGGGATCGAGTTACCGCAGGCCGGCGTTCGAATACCAGCGTCACAAAAGTTTTTTCGACCTGCTATCCTAAGGGTGGTGGTTCGAGGCAATCACAGCGGAGCCGTGTGCAACAGGCCCACATGCCGGAGGTTCGACTCCTAACAAATATTTCCATTTAATTTTACTGCCTCACCCAGTGCGGTTCAAACCCGTGAACTTGAGCCCACCCCGAGCATGGGACGTGGTGGTCCAGGGAGTACAGGCGTCGGTTCCCAGTACCAAGGTCGGCGGTTCGACTCCCCCAACTTCTTGCGAAATTTTGACCGGGTCGGTCGAGTCCTGTTGCGTCAAGAACCCACCTCACGCCGATCCCCTCATCATGGGCCGTGGTGGCCGAGAGCGTACAGTCGTGTGATCCCGATTGGCGGGGTCCGGGGATCGAATCCCATCATTTCATTACATTTTTCGACCGCCTTTCTCGCTGTGCAACTCAAACCCGTCGTCCAACACGCTGCCAGACGTACAAGCGTGATAGCGTAGTGGTCAGAGTCACATTCACCTGGCCACTCCGCTGTGGGTGTCTAAAAAGCAATCCGCTTCGGCGGGTTGGCCTCGGCACTGGAGCGATGGCGTATTTGATCCATCAATCCAGACCATCCGGTGTGTGGTTGCGGGTGGTGCCTCCTCGATTCGTCGGGGAGGCGATGATAAGTCCTTTGAAGCTGGCCTAAAACGCTGTATGTTCGGTACGGGAGCGCCGGACAGTGGGGGTACCATGGGGTACACAACCAACCCTACGAAAACAAGAAGCTCCCACCAAACCTCTTCTCTGTCTGAGTCTCTCTCTGTCTCTCTGTCGTCTCACTCTACGTCCCGCCCCTCAAAGAGCTTCGTACTGGGTGCTCTCACCCAGCTGCCTGAGCTTTGGGGTCCTACTGGGTCCCCCGGCGAACGCTTAGAGTCGCCGACGGGATTAACCCCAGGTACCTGATAGCACCGGTTCCCATCCCGAACACCGAAGTAAAGCAGGAGGCCTCCCCATTAAGACTGGGGAGGGGGTGTAGAGTTCAAATTTTTTTCTTTTCCCTTTCAAATTTCTCGGTTAATACTCGTTTGGTTTCCTTATACGTAGTAGTATGCGGGCTCATTCCAATGATAGTAATTAAAATTGTGTATGAAACAAAATATACAGACCCGAGCGTCGAATTCCGCGCAGGCTGCGCTTCATTGCCAGCCAGCCACACGCACAAGCCCGCCCCGGCAGCCAGTCCCTATTATATTGTTTAGGATACGCGCTCTGAACTCGAGAGTAAAAGCACGCTGACACCTTCATGTGTATAGTAGTTTTAAGTATGTTTCAAGTGTGAAGGTATCATCTGCTAAAAAGCTCGTGTGTGTGCGCGCGCGCACGGCGGTTGGTACCTTGGCCGTGCCCCGGCCGGCCGCGGCCCGCGGACCGTGGGACTGCGCGGCGAGGCGGAGAACCACCGCCGCGGCGACCAAACGCCAAAGGCCGTTCGAAAAAGGAATCCGACACTCGGGCGAGACGCCTCTTTCATTATCATCATCTCCGTGCCCCCCCCCCTCTTTTTCCCGGCTGATTTTCATTACCCACGCACGGCAGCGTCGCCGTGCCCGGCCGCTTTCCCCATAAATTTCCCGACTTTACGATATTGGCGCCGCGGCGGCCCAGGCGGCCCCTGGCCGCGGAGGCCGAGGTGGGGGAGGCGCTCATATCGCGGCGGTCGCATCATCGCGCGGAAACGCCGAGACGTCGCCGCCGAGCCGCCGAGCCGCGAGGCGACCTTTCGCGTCGACCGGCATGACCCGAACTGCCTGCCGAACGCGCCGCGACGCGCGTGTTCTAAA